GTCTGTCAGTAAGCGGCTGAAGTCTATTAAAGTCTAATATCTAATAAATTTTAAGGTCTAATAAAGTAACAATGTCTAGTAAAGACTAATAAAGTTTAATACTAGCTAATAAAGTCTGTTAGTTTAATAATGTCTAATAAAATCTAACAAAGTCTGTCAAAATGTTTTAAAATCTAGTAGAGTCTTACAGAATCTAGTAAAATCTATTAGAATCTGTCCAAATGTATTCAAGTGTGTCTGTATTGAGCTGAAAGTATCTGTATATCCAAGTGCCTCTGTGTCAGTCTGAGTATATGCAAGTGTATCCGTCTTGATCCGAGCATGTCCATGTTGATCTTGAGTGAATCCATGTGTAACCATGCATAGCTGAGTGTATCCATGTATCCGTATGGATTCATGTGTATCCGAACATATCTGTGTGTACCCGTGTCTATCCAAACACATCCAACTGTATCCGAACATAGCCAAGTCTAGCCGCGTGTATCTGTGGTGATCCGAACATATCTGAGTGTATCCGTGTATATTTAACAGAATCTAAGAAATGCTAATAGATTATGTTAGATTCTAAGCGATTCTACTTGCTTCTATTAGATTCTAAGATATTCTACCATATTCTACTAGATCCCATCAAATTCTAAGATATTCTAATATAATCTAATAGGATCTCTTAGAATCCAGTGAGATGTAATAGAATCCAATGGGATCTCTTAGAATATGATAGAATATCTTAGAATATCTTAAAATATCTTGGAATCTAACAGAATCTCTTGGAATGTAATAGAATTGCTTAGAGTTTCTTAGCAGTTGTTACAATCTCTTAGAATCTAGTAGAGCCTCTTAGAATCTAATAGAATCTCTTAGAAAATCTATTAGAATCTGTCAGATTCTATCAGATCTCTGAGATGTGACCCTGTCCCACTGCCTGAGCCCCCAGCTGTGAGTCCCTGCATTCAGCCCAGCCACGCTTTCGCCCCGGTCCCCCCAGCAGCAACACAAAGTTCTTAATTCCCTTTATTTTAAAACTTTATGTACATACAAATTATCTGTATAATGTACATATAAATGATCTGTATAATGTACAGTCACTACAGAAAGTTGTTATGTACTGGATAATGTATAGAACACGTAAGAAATTATTTGTAAGTGTAAAATAACTTGTCAACTGTTTTTGCTGAAGCTTTGTCAGTCTGGCCCAGCTTGCAGGGGTGTCTGTCGCTGCCAGCCCTTGGGAGGAAGAAGATGATGCTGATGATGAAGGAGATGAGGGACACACCCTGTGCAAGTCACCTTCCGTGGGAGCAATCACAGCAGCCTGGGAAAAGAGGAAACACCCTTGTCATGAGGGGCAGTGAAGTCAAAATGATTTTAGCCCAATTCCTCCAGACTGTAGTGCAATTGCAGTTCTGCTAATTCATAACATATCAAAACTAGGAAAGTTTGATTCACCATCTTGTAAACAAATATGAAGGAACAAAACGTGCCTATGTACAACAAGAAAAAATTTCTTGTGTGCCCATTTCAGCTGATTTAGAGCACACAGCACTGTGTTGCTGTGTGATAGTTAGAATCATTGACTTCTTCCTAAAAGGAAGGAAAAAAAAAAACCAACCCAGAAAACCAACAGCCCTAGAAAAAGGCCTTAACACTGTCATTAAACACTTGGAAAAGCAGTAAGCAGTTGGAGGAAAGCACTAACAGAATCTCTTAGAATCTAACAGAATCTAGTAAAATCTGTTAGAATATGTCAGTCTTAAAATATTTCAGAATCTATTAAGAGACTCAGTCAGACTGTTAGATGCTGACAGATTGTGTTAAAATCTAACAGTCTAAATTTGAAAGCAAGAGATGTTAAAAAAACAAGCACACAAAGACAGAAAACAACCACAAAGAAGGAAAAACCAGCCACAAATAAACAAAAGCAAGCCAACCAAACTCCAAATATGATAGCAAAAATGAGGTTAAAAAAACCCAAGCCAAACAGAACAAACACACACAAACCCCAAAACTTAAAAAAATACCCAAACAACCCAGGAACATGGAGGTGGACAGGCAAGTCTGCAAAAATAAGCTGCTCAACCACAAGCCCATCTGCTAGGTTTTTCTAACTGTAGCACCACAGGCAACAGCGTAACTACAGCAGTTTCAGTGAAAACACTTCATCCCCTGTGGCACTTCTGCCCTGCTTTTCATCTTGTGCTCAACACCGTCAGACCCAGCTTTTCCCAGTCCCAGCTTTTCCCTGAGGAGTAGTTCACATTGACCTTGGAACCTTCTTTGCCATGTGTTTGTGCGGCTGGGAAATGGCTGAACTCCTCCTTCAGGTCTTCAGACGGTATAAATTTTTGAAGCTGTCACAGCTTAACAGCCACAATGTATTGAATCTGATATTCAGGGAAACAAGTTTCCTTACCTCCAATTCCAAGAGCCTCACAGCAAATGGCAGCAGCAGGAAGTACAGAGGCGTTGCATGACACAAGATCTCCCTTTTTTTCTGCATTCTGAGAGATTTGGGAAAACCTGACTGAAGCGCTGATCTTGTGCAGTTCAGAGTAAAAACTGAATCATGTCTGCAGCAGGAGGGAGGTAACAGTTGTCCTTGTGCTGCAAAGGAATCTAATACCCAAGAACGTGACGGTGGGCTGCAGGCTGTGGCTGGAAGTGGGTATTTAATGACTAAACCTATTGTAGGCGACAACTGCGGTCTTGCCACTCGAGATACATGTAGCTTGCACAGAGTCGAAATGTGGAAAACAAAAATCTTTACTGTAGTGTGAAGAATTTTACAATAACTTGGAGAATAGATACACAAGCTGTGGCAGGGACAAAATACAACAGGACTGCAAAAACATAGAATAGAAAATACTTTGGGGGCAATACTAAAATTCCCATCAAATTAACAATATAAACTGACATCTTAGGTAAAATGGTGCTTTCAGAAATGCTTAGCCACCAAAACTGAAGAGTCTAGGATTTTTACTACCACTTATTAGCATAATTACCAGACACTACTACTGCCTAACAGCTGCTGGCAAAACATGCCCGTGCCCTTTTTCTAGTTTTATGGAACACTTTCTCTAGGGCATACTAAAATCTCATGTCCCTGTAACAGTTATAAAACCCCACACAGTACAACCTACAGAGAAGCTTAAAAACACATTGTCAATCTACACTGGCAATTCCTTTTCTTCATGCATATTTCAAGGGCAAATCCCTTATCATAACTGTCCCCAAAACATCTATGACTCCCATTTTTTTTGGGAAAAAAACCCAACAAACACTTAAAGTGCTGAAAAATAATACTTCACTTCTCAGGGGGAAGGGGAAGGGCAAGGGGCCAGTCAACTCTTTTTGGTCACTGGGATCACCCCTCAGAGTCCAAGCCAGGTGCCAGAAGGTGGCTAGAAAGGTGCTACCATTGCTGAGTGCTGCCATCCCTGTCTGTCTGTCTGTCTCTTGACATCAGTTTCCAGAGGCGTGACTCATCTGCGAGCACCAAGGGAAGAGGGAAGAGGGAAGGCTTTTAGACCCCACACATGCAACAGCTTTCCTGTATACAAAATATTTCTGCAGTTTCAGCGCAATACAGACAAATACAGATGTTTAAAGAATATGCCACTTATACTCAAGAGATCCACTGTATCTAAAGAGAATTTCATTCTACAAAACTGAAGCCAAACCGCTCTCTGCAAATGTCTGGCTCGCGTTTCAGACCCGCTACTGGCATGAATTTACACCAGGACATTACTAGTTATTGCTTCAGCCAGGCTGCTACAAAACAATTTACAAAGTCTGTGAAATATGAGCACAGCTTAAACATTTGATTACTTGTCTGGCCTACAAAGGATTTATTGAATTAAAAACTTCAGCCCTCCACATCAATTAGACTTCTTAGTGCAGTTTTAAACTCTTAGAGTAAACGCTTAAGATTTGGCATATATTATTGGCACAACGTTCTTCAAACACTTAGAAGTTCATGTATAAATATTTATACTCCCATTAATCAGGACAGGGCACGAGGAGAACTCAGCCAATCTGGGCAGCTTTTCTGCTTGCACATATTCCCTCTTTGATTTTCATGCACTGCAGGGAGAGCTGCTTCATTCGGTTATCCAGAGCCAGCCCTTCAGTGGAGCTGCTCCTGGCGCTGCTCCTATTCTTGTTGACTCTGTCACTTGTCTTGTTCTCAGCCCCTTCTGCCCTGTCCCCTGCAAAGAAAGGATTAAACTAGATGTTAAACCTGGATTTCATTCTGCAACTTAAGCTTCAAACGGGTGTCTCTGCAGCTTCCTTTGCCAAAGCACATAAAAAAACCCCAAACCACACAGGAGGAGGAGCAAGATGCTGCAACCAAACTGAAGTTGGCCTTCCAAGCCACGCTCCTCTTGTGCACCACATCAGCAAACAACAGTGTAAAAAAGCCATAGGCTGGAATACACAAGAGCAGTGGTAATCCTCTAGTCTGAATTTGTCAGCAGGGGCTGGCAGAGCCTGAAAGAGGCACCTTTGGACATGTTATTTCTTATATTTATTTATTTATTGCCCCCAGAAAGCAGGATTTTCAGCAAGCAGGGCAGTAATTTTAAAAAAACAATGATAAATAATTAAACTCAGATCTTCCTTAAAATAAATGTATCATCAGAATCCCACTGATCACTTATCTTGTGAGAAACCTCAAACCTCTCCACTGAGGCAGAACTGGAGAAGAATAATTAAAACTTTCTGGATGTCACTGTTAAGTGTGGGGTGCAGGGCCTTCAGAAGCTGCCTTCCTCAAGGAAGTGGCCAGCGGCCAGAGCTCAGCAAGCTGGAGATACGCCTAGGGGAGCTGAGAAGGTTCTCCCGCTCCCTTTATAAAGCTGGAAAACACTGGGCCAGGGCACGTCCCACTGTGTGTACCTCTTTCAGCTTCGCACTCGGGGGAGGATGCCCCGCTGCACTCGCTTCGGGGGCCCAGGACAGGGAAGATCATCCCGAACTCAGAGAGCGACACGGGGCTGGGCAGATCCAGGCTTCCAGGTCGTGTTGCAGGAGGGAACTGAGTGGGCACCTCGCAGGGGCTCGTAGGACCAGAGCTGAAGCTGGATACTGACTGAGTTTCCGAATCTTCTCCGGATACCAAGCTGCTGCCATTGTCATCCTCGAACACCTCTGAAGCCACTGCAATGTTCAAAGAATCTTCTGGTTAGCAAACCTACCCCCTCCTGCACCTCCTCAAGCAACAGCAGTTCCTCAGATTTGCATCTCACGTATGTGCACACACTGTGAACCCATGGGCTGCCCCTTCTCGAGCTCAGTGCCCTTCACAAAACCTTAACCCTGCATGTCCTACATGGCTCACAAAGGCCTGATTCTGCTTTGAGGAGCACAACACCTGCCAGTCCTGCCATGGAAGAGCAGCTCTACAGCTCCTGCTCCTTGTGCCAAGATGCTCTCAGGTGTCCAGTGTTCCTGCTGCCCCCACCCAGCCGACCTTGTTCTCCTGACTCCAGTCCCCTGTGCCCACCTGAGCCCGTGGTCCCCTCATCCCAGCACAGACTCTGGGTTATTTAAGGCACTAAACAGAAGCCAGATTGCTTCCACCTTATCTTCCCACTTTTACAGTAAAAGCCCAGCACAGACTCTCAAGATCTCTTTTTGCAGTACCAAATTAAGAAAAGTCCTGCATTTATCATCTTCCCTACTCATGTTTGCTCAGATCTGAATGCTAATTCAAGCAAACCATCTCCAGGTTATCTCGCTAGATTTAGCTGCAGGCTCTTTGTTAGCAACAGGAGGAGGTATCCATTAAAGAAAGTTCAATTTTTTGCAAGATAGGGGGGTGTAAGTTTTGCTAAAATTCAACATTTTTCAGTCTCTGTTCATTGCAGGATGGGGACCTTATGAACCAAAAACCTTTGCACACCAGCAGTCCCACTGGGATCAGAAGGTTTTTTATGTTCATCAGCCTCTACCCAACAGAAGCATGTGCTGGATTCACACTGGTCTGAACAAGTGCCATGAATAGCAAGACGTTTACAGTGACCTGAAGCTGTCTTTAATTTTACCTCCCTGCCATTGTTAGAGAGGGCCACAGCAGCCTTGAAAGAGCAGCAGCATTAACAAAATGGCTCAAAGGAGAAGTTTCAGATTAGCTCTCCTGTTACCCTGGCAGCCCGGGGCTCACAGGCACAGCTCAGACATGAAGGGTGCAAGTGGAGGCAGCTACCATCATGGTTACTGCAGAGATGTTCAACCTCTTTCTGCTGTACTTGCCAATTGCAGAACTGTACTTACACATTGCAGGATTGACCTAAAAGGTTTCAGACATAAACCAGGTAACAGCATTATCCACCTTCCTGCATCCCCTCCAGGGCACTCTGTGCCCAGAGATAGTTTGTTGTTTGTTGTTTTGTTTTTAATGATGTCAAGACTGCAGAGTGGTCTTTCACTTGCTATGTTTTATCAATATACAATGAGCAATACAGACAACCTTGCAGGGGGTGAAAGCAAAAAGAAGGTTGGGCTAAAAAGATGTTTCCAATTACAGGAGTCCTCTTCTTAACAAGAAGCACTGACACCAGGTACTCTACAACAAGCACAACTTAAACTGCAGCTTATTTATCACACCCTAAACTTCCCATATCACACAGGAGCATCTGCCAGGGCCAAAAAACTCTTGCTGCTGACAACATGTTTTATTCAACTACAGCAGGTGGAAATCAAGATCTAAGAGGGCCTTGGCAGAAACCTCCCATGTTACAACACGAGAGCTTCACCTGTTGAGGCTATTTTGGTCACCACTTCTGGCAGGCTGCTAGTCCTGCCCTGCTGTAGCCCAGTTCTGTGCTGGCAGCAGCCTGGAGTCCTCCCACATGTGTCAGAGTGTGAAGTTCAAAGGGAGTGATAAGCCCACCCTCGCCTGCAGCCTCAGCAGTGGCCAGGAGGGCCAGCAGGCCCTAAATTAACCTTCTTGGCTCTTTCTGCCCCTACGTACTGGGCCCCTGAACTCCTTCAGCACAAGAAAATCCTCAACAGTTATAACTAAGGCTATTGGGAGGCCTCCTGGACAAGACTTTGCATCAAGGAGGCAAGAAAGTGTCCAGGAGGGAGGAAAAAGTGGACCATATGCAATGTCTATCTATCCACTTGCACCCAGAGCCAGGACAAAAGGAAATATGCAATACAACACACCGTTCCTGTCTTGGCAGCCCAAGCTCCCCACGTCCCACCAGAAAGCAGCCATTACCCAGCCTTGGAGGCTGCTCAGTGGTTGCTGCTGTCACCCAAGAGAAATGTCTCTTTTAGAGAGCGTCAGTGCACCATGTTAGCATATCACTGCTTGTCTGCAGCGTGCATGCTCTGCTGAAACCACACCCTGGCAAAAGACCCTGCAGTACAAAGAAACTCAGCCTTACACTCATTACTACTTTCTGCACTGCTGCAGCCACAACTTTAGTCCCTCTGCCACTGGCTCAGCATGGCAAGAGAGGTGCTGGATCCCAAATGTCTGTTTCTCATCAGCACTGCCACCTTGGCACCCGCCTGGTGATAGGTAACAGCCGGCACCCATCCCAGGCAGGTCACTGACAGCAGCAGCACTGGCTTAAAAATCAGAAGCATGCTTTGAAGTGCCTTAATTTTGTTCCTTTCATACAGCACCGTACAAAACTCAGCAACAACATGAAGGAAACAGCTGGTGCGCTTCAACTCATACTCCTTCCCCCTGAAAAATTGGCTGTTAAAGAATACAAATAACTCCCGTAATAATGAGAAGTGTAACAAGAGCCAGTAAATTTCTAACTGCAGAATACACAGAGCAGCCTTCATCTCAGCACTTCTTAGAACTCCTGTGGGATATTCCCAGGCACGGGAGCATTCTGTACTCACTGGAGATGGTGTCTGACTCTGGTTTACTTGCTGACAGGTCTTCCACAGAGGTGTTGCTCCCTTCAGCACCCACACCACATCCTCGGGGCCCCATGGCAGTGGACCGTCTCCTCTCGTGAATCTCATCCGAGATCATCTCCAGGTTTTTCAAGGCAGTCTTATACTCTCCCTTTGCCAGGGCCAGTTTTGCCTGCAGGTCATCCACTGTTTTTTTCAGTTGCTAACAAGGAAGACAGGTGTTAGATGTGCTTTCCTTATGAACGACACACAGCACACAGTTCTCTGTCACACGTCCACACGACTCGGCTCTAAACAGAGGAGCTACCACAAACCAGAGTTGGTATCTAGGTGGTGGGAGAGTCCATAATTCAAGAGCACCCCAGTGCAAGCAGCAGCACTTGTGAAGGAAAACACTGCTTGTGTATCTGCAGCTGTCTCAGCTCGGTTTTACACTGCACATAAAAGCAATCTGTGTTGCCTTTTGTACTGCCTTTTACACAATCACCCGCAGCCTCGGGAGGACACTGAGCAGCTGTCAGGGTAAAGCAACAGGCCCCCAAAGAGCGGGGCTTTGCCCACAGAGAAAAGCGGATTTCTCAAAAGATGCCTCTAGCCTGAAGGGATTATCAGGCTGATGCCCAGGTCCAGGACGAGGGTTCAGCTCCGCGCAGCAGCAGCAGCTGCCGACCATGGCTGCACAGGCAGGCAAGACAGAGGAGCAGAAGGCAGCCCAAGTCTGGATGCCAGCAAGGAGAAGGGGCACACCAGGGTCTCCAAAGGCTTATAAGAGAGCCCCTGCATCTCAGGCAGCCCAGGGAAGGGCTCACAAAGAGGGTGTGGGAGGTACCTTGCACCCCAGGCAAGGAACAGGAATCTTCCTCTAGCTAGGACCCAGTGCCCGAGCACTGGCCGGGCACTGTAGAACCACACAGAGTGCAGAAATACCAGAAAAAGCCCTGGCAGCCCTTCCAGCCAAATCCCACATCAAAAATTCATAATGTGCATGATGTTTGAGTACTACAAGCAGGTTACTTGTTCTGTTAATTGACCCAATCACTGAACAGAAAGGAACACCCTAAGCCCAGTTAAACAGTCTGATGCATAAAACATATTGGGAAAAATGGAACAAAACAAAAAAACAAATCCCAGAGACTACACGAAATGAAGGCAGTCAAAACATATTTGTTCGGTTCTGGCACTAAGCAGGAGAGTTTGAACACTTATTTCACACAATGAAACAAAGCCTCTCAGTCTTTTATCTTTAAAATGTGATTAACAAAGTGCTCAGTAGGATTTAAAGTGAATTGGTTTTGCACCGACACGCAACATGGTTGTCAGAGCACTTTAGATGCAATTTAAGTGTTTACAGCAAGCAGTAAAGGGTTTCAGATGGGCCTGAATTAGATACGTACCTCTAGTTGGACGTAGTACTTTGCCTTGAGTTCAAAATAAGGTCTGTGGAAAAACAAAGAACAAAAGTTTACAACCACTGGGACTGAATGCAGGGTATTGGAGTGGGAGTTTCTCTCTTCATAGCACTAACAGAGCTGTTTTGTGTTTCACTGTGATCCCAAGAGGCTACTATTGAGATGATGGCACACCTACTCGTGCTCTCCATGTCTCTCTCTTCCCCTCTAATATGTCTTTTTCTCATGGGTATTTTGACCTAAATACAAATTGTGGAATTCCAGGTTTTGGAGTTGACAGGATAATTCCTTCAAGGCCTAGATTCTGCAAGATAGTTTAATGGAACATCCAGCTTCAGGAAGAGCCATCCTCTCTATCCGCCTAATTTTAGAGCCCACGGCACATGCGAATTCCCCACAGAAGGCAAACCTTAGACCCTCCCATGTTCAGATGTGGGAGTGGAGGAGCAGCTCTTATTAAGCAAAAAAAAACTCCTTGATTTTTAGCAGGGCTCACTATCCCCCTACTCTCTCAGCAGCTCTTCTGTAAAGTATGGCAGAGATGAACAATCAGAAGTGGTTTTATATAAAATTGAACACTTTGTCATATTTCTACCCAGACAGCAAGCCTCTTTTGAGCTGTAAGTTCCCCTGCAGCTACATTTTAGACTGCGCACCAGAATGCTGCAGTTTTCTGATCCTACGCACTTTGAAGAGTTGAATTCACTACAGAGTCATACATGGAATAACCGAGTCAAGTTTCCCCAAGACTGGGTTATTTCACAGCTCCTGTGTTTTCAGTCAGCCCCCACCATCACTGGGAGCATCCAGACAAGTACATGGCATTTCCAGTGATGCTGACGCAAACTGCTCCTCCACCTCCCCTCGTTTGACTGTGACCCCGCCGAAGTCTACAAGGATGGACCTGCCAGGCATGGTGAGACAGTGTGCTTGGGAGTCCACATCCAACAGTTCCAAGCCTCCCACAGCCACACCCCAAAGCAACAGGAGGGCAGAGACACTGACAAAACGGTGTTACAGGAGAACATGTACAGAGAAAACAGTGAAACCCAGCCGATCCTCTGCTTTCCTTACCCTCGTGCCAACTGGGAGAAAACAACCAGGCTTGAATCCTAACCTCCCATCATCGTCCAAAAGCCTAGGGGAAAAGTGCCCTTTCTGTCAGCACACAAACACATGCGAGTTTGTGTGGTGTGAAAAAAATAACATGTATGTATATTTATATGCACACATGTGCGTGTATATACATGCATACATGTACACACACATACAGATGTACATGTGAGCAGGCAAGTTTACAGGGAATAGACAGGAAAGATGTCACCTAAGCTAGGAAAAGGATACCAACAGCCTGACGTGTAGGAGCACACTGAAGCACTCTTTATCACTCCTTGGTAACATAGCCAGCCATCCAATGGCAGCAGAAAGCAATGCACTGGCAGGGTAGGGACCTGCACCTTCTTGGGTCGCTTCATTCTTTTACACCCACAACCCTGTAACTATTGAAACCCAGTCTGTGACACAGCAGGGTTGAAGAATTGTTCACTGATGCCATCACTGCCCTACTGCATGAGTTGTCTGAGTCCAGGGCACTGCGTAGTGAAGCAAAGCACTTTTTAACTACATGGCAGGAAGAGTGGAAGGCACTTTGCTCAAGTCACCTGAGCAGAAGATGACTTCCAAAAACCAGCTAACACAGGAAAGTTCATTACCCTACAGCTCAGGGACACCGAGCCAGAAGATCTGGCAACTTAAGAACATGCAGCTGTATGCACATTCATAGCTTACAAGCAAGTAAGCACCCAGAAACAAAATTAAAAGCAAAGCCAAAACAAAACAATCCAGTAATCATCCACTCATCAACCCACACAGAGAATCATATAAATGACTTTCCTCCAGGCTGTCCCAGTCTTACTTTCAAATAGTAATGCTTAAAGCATCTCAATCCAGACTGAAGTGAAGAGCAAATGCAAATTATTTTTTGCATGGGAAAGAGCAATCCATTCAGCATGTCTACCCACGAGTTTATGGAGAGAGAAGATGGACAACATGGGTCTGAGAAGCCCAAGGGGTCACAGCCAACGCTCCTGCACCACCCATGGAGAAGGGCAGAGCGTTTTTCTGATGTTAAATCCCTACATAGTACAAGTTCAAACACATCTATGATAAGACTGTTGATGCCATCAGGCACCCTCCACTTTGCTACTAGGTTAGAATTGGCATTTCTGTACACCCCTTAAGGAAGGGCCTCCAAAAGTCCACACATGGGTGGTTTATGCTGCAGTCAGCCCTGCTGTGAGTCAAAGGAATATGTTGGGATCCTTCCACATAAGTGAAAACTCACTTGTCCTGAGGAGAATGGCATGAGACAACAGCCCCATGGGCATAGATTCAGCAAAGTGAAGGCTCAGAAGGCAAATAAAACATGAGGCAGCTGAGGCATTGAGCTCAGCACCATCACTGTTATAAGAGGGTATGCAGGACCCCATTGACAACTTATCAGCATCCTTATTCTCAATTTCAGTGTAAAGGAAGGAACTCCCAGCAGCCACATCACTTCTCAGCTATTGCTCTTATGCAGAAAAATCTGTCATTTAGTCATCTGATGACATCTTTCACAGTTCCTGCGCAGTGCTAGACAAACAGCATGAAGCTCATTCTAGGAAGCCGCGCTGCTACACTCTTTCAGCAAACAGCCTGATTCTTCCCTAAGAAGCACTAATCCTTTCTTGAATTGCACAAACATCAATCAAAATAGATTTTTAGTTGACCAATGTCACCAAAAAGTCATTTTAGATGGAGGGATTAAAAGCTAAATACAGCAAGCAGATTGTTTAGACAAGCTACGATCTGGAAATAAAAAGAAAACTAACTGTGAAATATAAAGAGGATTAAGAGCTGCTTGTAAACAGGTCCAAAATTTTAAACAGACTCTGAGCAAAAAGCTGTTTCACTTCTCTGCAACAAAGCAAAACTGTGTATCAACTGCAGACACATTTATTAGAGACATTTGCTGCTTAGCTGTGCTCTCTGAAGCGCGTTTCCTTCCCCAACAGCAGCTCCCGCACAGCTTTGCCAGGCAGCATCAGGAAGCAAACAAGACTGATTTACAGTGTGCCACTCTGATGCAGTCTCACACCTTCCAGGTTTCTGTCACCTGCTTTGATGCTCTCCTAACTAAAAATAAGAACTAAGCTGCAAACAATCCTAAGATACAAAACATTCACACACAGAGCTCTGCAGTTCTGTCGGCAGCATCTGTGTGAATCCCATGAGCCTGTTTCTCAAGTTAACATGCTGCCAAAGGGTCCAGCGCACTAGACCAAGAATATATCCAGAAAAGGTTCCTTGTCCTATTTAGTTCACCTATCAAGTCAGGTGCTTCCAAAGATGCTTAGAAGGACAATAAATGCAAGGACTAACACCAGCACCAGCTGTGCTGCGAGGCTGTCACATGCAGGCAGGAGCCCAAGCAGAGAGCTACAAAGGGCAACACACTTTCACAAGTTTGGAAAAAGGTTGTGGGATCCGTAGCTCCCACAGACAGACTTCACCATGGAACTTGTCTCCTAACACAAAACATACTTTGATTTATTGATGGCTCTTTTCAGCTTCTTCTCCAGCTGCTTCATCCTTCCCATGGCGGCATTGTATTTGGCTGCAGTCTCCTTGTGAACCAACTCGCTCCTCGTCTTGGTCTGTTCTGCCTCCATGACCTTCAAGAGGGAAAATACAGGTTGAGAGGCAAGACACAACGATCCATTTCTTTTCAGTTTAATTAAGAGCATCTTCATAATCTCTCTAATCAGCTCATGCCAGGAAATGGAGGACATAGAAAAATTAGTTTCAATGAACCTACTTAAAAGTCAATCCTGAAAGGAAGAGCAATATGTCAGATTTGCAAACACTGTGTTAATTTTAAACAGAGGTGTTGCAGCTTCTCGCATCTCTCTTGTAGAAGGTTCAGAAGAGCCTCAGCTTTTGGGATCACCCATTTTTTAACCCAGTCAGCTATTCAGCCGACCAGTCTCGAGTCACAGTTTCAACACCAAAAATGCTGGGAGGTCCAAGCCCTGAGCTGACACCTCTTATTCAGCCAGGGGAAGCTGTGCTGATGACCAGCCCTCTGTCTGGGCAGGCAGATGCTTAACCTGCATGTTTGTCTTTTGATGTCTAAATGAAAGTGAGAAACAGTTACACTCCAAAGCTGAACTACATCAGAATCACCTAGAAGCTCTTGCTGCCACAACTGGAGGCCATGTTTTGCTCATCTGCACATTCCACTTATTAGTAAACAAAGAAGTTGTAGCAGAACTTTAAACCACAAGAAAGAAAGTTTTCCAAAGACTCTTCTGACTAGATATAAAATAATATACTCAGTTACAAACACCCTTCAACTATTTTACATATAAGGCAGTCACTTTCAAAGAAAGGTTAAAAAACCAAAAACACACATACACAAAAAAATCCCACCAAAATCACACCCACACTATCAGACTCATAACAGGCTCTCCACCGCATCCTGAAAACAAGCCACAGTGTCATATCTTGAACAAGTGCTCGAAAGCTAGGTTGATGCAATGACATTCCTCAGTGAAATATGTCAGACAATGATGGGTTTTGGCATGAAAGTATCTTAAATTAAAATGCAGTCTCTAAAGACTGCACAGAAGCTGGTTTGCCTTCTTATTGTAGCACGGAAACTGCAATTCGAAAATGCTGGAAGCTACAAAATAATCGAGTGGCTGGAATTTGCCAACGCTCAGTTAAATATCAATCCCTTGCATCTATTCTTGAGGCAAAATTGGCATCAGCTTTGATATCTGGGATGAACCACATGATAAGCACTACCAGCATCAGGGTCATAAAGCAGGTTAGGTGCCCAGGATCATGCTGATTTTGCATATCTTGCATATCAAATATCACAGAAATGCTGAGCCCTGCTGGAATTTGAGGATGGCAGATGATAAATATCTCAAAAAATCTGACAAAATACTGAATTTCTGCCAGCCACATATACCCATGTTCATTACCCCTTCTAGGAGAAGAGGGGAAAAGGAAAAAAAAGTTTCGTACTTAATCCTTTTGAGAAATCAGTGATGTAAGGAAAACTATCTCCCCTGATGCCCTTGCTTTCCCCGTGGGCATCCTGCTGTTGCGCTCTCATGACCCACACAAGCCTGTGGAGAGGGCAGCCAGCCGGTCCCTGCCCCGGGACAGCAGCTCAGGGTGCACGCCTGAGGCTGAGGACAGTACCTGGAAGATTGTGAGGTACCTCTGTGGAGATCTGGCACCTGTCAAGATGCATTTAAGTGTTTCATTCAGACTACAAGAAACAGAATGACCATCCATCCCTCCCCAAAAGCCGAATGGCCTTTAAACAGAGAAGCTGTCTGTCCATCAGGGCAGGTGGACAGAAAGTGGCGCAAACCATGCTGCCAGGAAACCCCTCACCTTTTAAAATGGTCCTAAAAGACCACTGACAAGGCTTGTGTGGGAAAGAAGTACTTTTTATCAGACCTAATAACATGGTTGGGGAAATAGGAGTCTTACACAGACTCATAAAGAAGTTTTTCATCACAGTTACAGAATAAACTCTTCTGTCAAATAGAAGTCACTGTGCTTCTACCATCAGCCTTGCCTTGTTGATGCTACTAAGCCATCACAAATGCAACTGCATCACTTTAAAAAGGCAGAGATAAAAGTGAGGATGACACCTCTTCAAATTAAGATTGCTCAAGACACACCTCTCCTCCTTACACTGTACCTGCCACCCATACCCTCAGGGCGAGCAGGGGACGTGCCCTCACACAAAACCATCCAGAAGCAGTGAACTTCTAGGATGCCAACACATTCGCTGGACATTTCTGTAGCCCAGGATCACCGATTTCAGAACAACTCATTCATCCAGATAGCACAGGCTACAACTACTGGAAAATTAAACAAAAACGCCAACACAGATACCAATCACTTTCTCTGCTCTCCTTCCCTAACCAACCCAGATGCCTGGAAAAGGAAGGTTGGTGTAGAGCATGTATTTTCAGTGAACAAGTCTGTAAAAGCAGCCTTGCTCCCCCTCCAAAGGATTTGCGTGATCTCAAGTAAAAGATGGGACTCCAGGCAAAATTTCAGTAATAACAACAGATGCCAAAGAAAAATTTATAAATGAAATCAAGCAAATCTGGCCATCTGAGCCAGATAATTACTCTGGACAACTGCTTCCTTCTCAAAAAAATTAGGCTGATGGCTCTTCTAGGGGAAGAATTAGAAATAAAAGAGACAATGCAAGATCAGTAAACCAGGAGGACATAATCAACTATATAAGAGATTGCATTTAACCCCTGATTTCCAGGGTGAAGTGGCAGAGATATTAGGGCAGGAAAGGATGTGGATATTTTTGTTGTTTCTTCCACAGACTTTACTTATCCCTTCCTTTTTCTCCAAGTATTTCCATCTGCAGGAAGTATCTCTTGTCTTCGTGTCACAAAAGGACCCACGCATTTTATACTGACAGATGGTACTTCACGGTGTAATATCAAAGTGAGCTTCACAAGCCAAATTAAACCAAGAGGGAGCATGCCTCCTCCCTCTTCACTCTCCTCTCATCCCTTTCTTTTCAAAATGTCTCATGATCAAGAGCCAAAACATTTCTTCTCCCTGCCAGAATTTAAGAACTGAACATATCTCAGGGAAGATTGTAAAAGCAGAACCTTTTTAAGATTGTAGATTGCATCAGCAATTAGAAATTATCAATGTCTCCTGAAATTCATGAAGGGTCTTCCTTTCTGCTCTGGGTAGTCTCAAACATGAGGCAATGCATCTGTCAACGCTTTCCTTTTGTATACACTTATGGACCACTTTCAACAAGAGTATAAATGTGAAGATCTCTCTCCTTCATACTTCAAAATTCTCTATCCTTTGGCCCTTTTACAGCCCTGCACTCTGCACCTCAAGCTGCTGGATCATAGTAATTTCTATTGTAATTAATGGTTAATGATCTGAGATAACAGCAACACTAGGGCACTCAAGAACTTTTGTTCTAGCATATCTCATCCTCTTATCTGCTTTGCTTCATAGCTTAATAGGTAACCATGATGTTTTCTGCCCAAGTCCCCAGTTACTCTGTTTACCCCACTGAACGCTAAGGACTGCACTAACTGTGTCCACTGAAATCAGGAAAGTGTTCACTCTGCTCCTAAAGAAATTATAAAACTTAAGCACTCTGAGCAAATTTGTGCTGAGTCTGTTCAGCCAGGGCTTCCAACAGCCTTCTTGGCTCTGGGCCTGGCCTGAAGACCTCCAGTACGGCCAAGGAAAAATCACAAGACAAACTTCCATGTAACTGTCTGAAAATCTTCTGTACCCTGGAAAGGTGCAGACAGGTGCTTTCTGTGAACTGAGCTCACTCAGACTATTTTAAGCACCAGAAGAGTAGGGTAACACGCTTTCCATCCAAGGAGCCGTCAACAGCTCTATACAATCCAGTCTGTGCCTGGAGATCTCATAACAGCAGTACATAAACCTAAGGTTCCTCTCCACTGTTCAGCTGTAACCATCAGACACCTTACGGTTTGAACCAGCCCTCTGGTGAGCAGACACGCTGCATTCAGTGATATGTATCAACACCACCAGCACAACTCAACCAAGAGGGTGTACTCCTCTTGCAGACTGTCAGAGAATGATTAAGGGTTGCAAAAGGACACTGGGATCCCCTCGAAATATCCAAGGAAGAGAGGAAACCATCTGAACTCTCAAATTGCTGTCATTTCTTTCCTCACCCAACCCAATACAATTTTCCATTATGCCAGCTAGAGACAGGCAGTTGGAGCTCTAAGCAACGGCTTAGATGTTCCAGCTTTTTCACCCATTCTGAGAATCCCAAATTGTGCATGCATTTCTGGACTTTGAATACAACAGGGATAACGACCAGGGAAAATGACAGCTGCTGGCATCCTGGCACACACGTGCTGCAGAGGTGGGGCTTCCTTCAGAAACGCACACAGGTTACCAGATCTGCAAATACCAAACCTTAACAGGGACAGCAACACAAACAATCCCACAGAGTTTGTTTTTATTTCTTTAACATATACCAGGTTTTCCATCTGTCCCCTACACACAGTCATCATCATTTTTGTTCCCTGATCCTTCATCAGGCAGCTGGCTCTGGCTTTCAGTCCACTCTGAAATAGAGGCTTTCTTACACCGAAGGAGCTTCTGCAACCGAACAGAGCTGCTGCATTGAGGGCTGCAAGACAATGCGAAAGCTGTGTGGCATGCCAGCACATTTGGAATAGCGAGTTCAGCTTCATTGGCATATTAAGGGAACTCTGACAAAACAAAAGTTTTTAGCTTCCATTTTTGTGCCTTTATGCTAAAAACACCCACCTTTCTGTCTTTTTTTTGTTTTTAAATTTTAAACAGACAGGAAGAAAAAGACAAAGCAAGTGACAGGAAAATTCTTCTTGACAGCTGCTAAAATGAGTAACACCTTCCATTGTTAGATGGTGCATCTCTTCTGTAGATTTAAAAAGGCATTCCAAAGGAGGTAAGATCTTGTCCACATTTGAAAGTTAATTCAGGATAGAGCACTGTGCAAGCTTACAATGCATCACACGCTTTTGAGTAATTCTACATTCAATCACACGTTTCCGAAGTCAAGTGCCTTGTTCAGCTTACTCCACATTAAGAACAGGTTATACTAAAATTGGAACATGTCTCTGTTTTTCTAGAGTAAGAGCTTCCATAACGTGTATTCAGGAACAGCCATCCCTATGCAATTATTCTGGCGTAACTCCAAATGGAGATATGCAGTACGACAATGTTTATCCTCAATATAGATGGTTGGGGTTTTTTCTCTCTTTAGAGGGCTACTCCACTACTACTAGCACAGCCAGGCAGAGAACTGTAGTTGTCCCAGTAGTAGCCCAAGGCTGAAATCATTTAATCTTCGGCTTTGTAATTTTCTCTAGCTTCGTTTCCTACACATCATGTATGTGGACCAATACAAAAATTTGGTCTTTTAGAGACTAAGCCTCATACACCATAGGAGAACACAAAATATGGAAAAGACCGACACTGGAGCAAGCTTTCATTACCCTCTGAGTAGCATGGTTAAGCATTTCTTGCCAGGCAGAGTCAAACTGACGCTTGTCATCTTCCAGTAGCCTCTGCTCAGCAAGCGAAATGGTCTCTTTTGCAGCACGCAGCACTTCAGTGGCCCTCTGAAAATCCTGGGTCGCCCTCTGAGCTTCCAGCTGTGCCTAAAAAAAGAGAAGATGGGATCAGAGGCAAAGGAACCCTCACAGTCAGATTTAGCAGATCTGCCACACTAATCCCAGGACTTAAAGAACACTACGTAAGCGTTATTGTCTCCCAGTCTTTCACTTGGAAGCAACACATATTTCCTCACTGGAGAAGTACTGCTGAGACAGTAGTTCCCACCCAAACAGGTAATTTGCAAAGAACTGTCTCATCATGTTCATAGTCAAAAAACACACAGGTGATGGCCTACAAATAAGCACCTGGCTGAGAACTAAATACCTTATGATGTACATTTAATCACTGAGAAACAAAAAAGCATTAATAGGAAACCCGTAGCATATCAAGAATACGTTGAGAATGGCACTTCTTGAGTTTTGTCAGGGTGGATTTTTATCTGGTGCACCATTGTTCATGCTGAGGAAATGTTTTGGGTGTATTACATTGCTACAAAACACAAACAAGTTTTCTGACAAGACGGCTGCTAATTCTTTGCACATTCTTCTACTTTGCTATTGCTGGGACACAACTGGTGCAGCAGGTGCCCAGTACACAGACACAAAGGTAACCAGGGGAGTCTGCAATGCACGTAAAACAGAGATGAAAGACCCTGCTATGTCCTTAAGAAACTGCTGCTTCTTTCCAACAAAATAATACAGAGTCTGAGCTTGAACTAAGCACTTTTAAGTGTCTGCATGGAAGTAGGAGACAATGGAATCTAGTCAATGAGCTGCGATCTCTTCGACTGGGGACCAAAAAAAAAAAATTTGCAGAGTCATTGCATTTACAGATCACCTTCATCTCTCCTGAAAGTTTTGACAAGGCTCTCATGGCACCCAAATCCCACTCTGAACAGCCCTCAGGTAAAATGCTTGCATCCCATCACGAAGGCTGGAGCTGCCTCCACTTTTCACAGCTGAGAATCAGGCCTCCAGCATGCCCAGCGCTGCAGCAAGCCCTTGCCTGTTCAGTCCTGAAAGGGGAGAGCAGCCAATAAAGCAGAACTAATGCCAGCCACACTGCAGGCTTCAGTAGCACTGTGGTGACTAAAGCCATCACAGAGTTCGGCAGTGTTGCACTTTTGTACCAGTGACAAATCTTAAATCGTTAAAATAGGTGATTCTACAACAAACAGACAAAGAGTACCCATAAACAAACTACTAATGTTTGCTGGCTTTTGGTTGGATGGTTTGTGGTTTTTTTTCAATAAGATAGAGATGTCCCCTCTTTTCATAGTTATCACTGAATGACTAGCAGTTTTAAATTTGGGGTTTCAGACATGCAGGTTTCTCACTGTATTCCTTCACTAGTAATTTTTAATTTCTGAAGCTTTTGTGTCCATTTGCTGTCTCTCTTAGCTATATAAGCACTTTAATGCTCTAGACCCTTTTGAGGTCGATGCACAAATATCCTGTTTAACTCAGATATAAGATCTTGACCTGAACTTTCTACATTACATAATTCATACATTTCTATTTAAAGGAGTATTTTTGAGCAATTTTGTACTGAAACACTGCCCTTCAAATGTAAGCTTCACATTCAATTAATTGAACATCCAGCACTGTGAAGACAGCTTTCAGCTACACTTCAATGATTTTTTTTTTTTAAACAAACTGGAATTACCCAGTTTATACCTATGGGAAATGTCTTTGACCAGACATGACTGACAGAACAAAATAATGAATAAAACTTTGCATGACATGACATACAGAGAAGCAGTCTGAGGCTGAAACAGGGAAAAGGACTCTGAGATATAGAACACCAAATTTAGGAAGATGAAGACTTAGGATTAAAGAGGGAGGGTTTAGTGTGAAGAAATGGTGGTCATCTGGGAAGTGGCTAAAAATCCTCAACACAAAATGGGAAATGAGTAGAACAACGGTGCATTTATCCAAGAAACAGCTGGCTACACCTCCTGAACACCAGCTGCCTCAAATATCTCCAGACTCGAGGCATCAGTTATTTGCAAAGGTAATGGAAAAAAATCTTTCCCTCCTTGCCTCATGGTAGGTAGACAGGCTCCTGATTTAAGCACAGGTCTCAAGAAGAAATAAAGCACTCTGCGTTTCCCTGCAATGCCCTGAAATAGCAGCAAGTAATTCTTACTTCCTTCCCCTTATTGCACAGAGAGGTACTTCATGCCAAAGTGACTGCGGAAGAACAAGAGTTCTGTGTCAGAGGTCCCTCAGCTACGAGCTGAGGAGGGAAATCAAAGGCATCACAATCAGTACAGGAATTCCCTTCCAACCACAGTCCTTGATGCACTTCCTTCTGAGGCAGCTGCTGGTGTCTTCCAAAAAGGAGAAATCCACCTAACCATGCTCCTTGCTGCTTTCAGGCAGCTTACACCACCCCATCCTGCCCGAAGCCTTCACGAAGAGCCAGGACATTAAAGCGCTGATTTCCACACAGGACTGCACACCCCGACAAGCACAGAGCTTCGGGCCAGATTAGTGGAGGAACAGCATCCTGGTGTAAATTCATTAATACAGTCTCTTAGAAAGTCTAAGAAAAATCTCCACACATCACATCTCGCCACCTCAGCCACCAAGTTCATGTTCCAAAAATACTAACACATTTTATAAATTCAGACTAAGCCTAACTAACGAATATTTTAATTTAGCCACTAACCAACCTAAGACATGGAACCCACACCAGGCACAGGAAAACTGTCTGAGGATCTTTAAACAAGGCTCAGTCTAAGCTTCCAACAAAGGACACAACAAAAGGCCTGAATCTTAGTCCCCAGAATATCCTCTGCTGAATTCTCTGAAAAGTCCCAACATTTTTTTTAATTCCCATAAGTTTGACCTACACTACTAAAGGAATCAAATTGCAAATAAAGGCCAAAAGTTTTCTATAAAAATAGTTTGAGGTGGGATTTTAAAAAGTGAAATAAAATGCAAGACTGTAGTAAGACCCGTGGCTGCCCTGTTGCAGAAGCAGGCATGCCCGCACAAGAAACAACTCCCCAGCGCAGGAGAACAGGCTGGGGACCCGCTCCCAGCACAGGCAGAACCGCACCAACAAGTCAAGTAACCGCTTTCGAAACTCGTGTAAAATCAGATCGCAGGGGCGAGCTCTGGAGAAGTACAGTATTCTCGCTCTAACTGCATCAGCACTGGAAAATTTCTGTTGGCACAGATACCCAGGTCAAGGACCAACACATCTAAGCCAGTGAAAAGTCTCCAGAGCATTAGGAGCAGAGTTATTACGGCTAAAACCCTACAGAAAATGTTTAGTGATAGATCGCAGTACCAGTCGCTTTTCTGATGAAGCCTCTAAAGCACACTCGGTTGCGCAGAAGGAGAATCTTCGTTATGATAAGAAAACCAGAAGGTAAATTTTCAATTCAGTTACATTTCCACTTGCCCCTGGACCTGTAGGACACTGAGAGCTGAAGCTGTTAACAGGCAGGTCCATAACTCCTGACAGATTCAGCTTCGTACCCTGTAATTGTGTGAACAAACAGAAAGCTGAAACAAAACCATACTTAAATACTCTCTCCCAGCTGTATTTATTGAATGTTACTCTGCAAAGGCAGTTTAGAAACATTGTTTTGGAACACAAAATACACTTTGGCTTAAGCAGAAGAGTTAGTCCAAATAGCAACTTAGATTTAACAGTTATCTGAAGTCAGTTTACAGTCTTATTTGATGCAACTTACTGAAAACCTGGGAAAGAAAAAAGCCAAATGCTAGGGTAAAGAATGATGTTTTAGTCATTACAAAAACATCAACAGGTTTGTGAGTTTGCCCTCGTGAAAAAACTTTTTTTAGTTAGCACAGTTACTCAATAATTAGCCTTCATTTAAAACTCCCTCCAGCACATACAGGTCGTTCTGCACCATCACCAACTGATCGCTCTCACACTCTCAGCCTCAAGCGTGCAGGCTTTCCTGATGGAAGGGATGGTACCCATGTTCTTCACATGCTTTCAAAACCAAAGAGAGCGAACAACAGGAGCTTGCATCTCCATCCAGCGTCCTGACATGGTGTGTGAACTTCACTTTAGACAGTGGCTCTTCCTCTCAGGAGATCAGAATTCAAGTATCAAGTGAATGCCTGAAAACTAGGTTATTTTGCTTTCAAGCACAAACTGGCGTTCAGGTCAAGAGAGGTTTAGCTCTGGGGTAGCATGAGGGAAAATATACTAGGCATGAGGACAAAAACCTCTAAGGGAGATTAGAGGCAAGTGGGAAGTCGATTTTCTGCCTGTCACCTGTATCGCTGGTGCTTGATGGAGTCTAGCTGATATAAAAGTGAGCATCTCTTTCAAAAAAGTCAGAAGGAGCCAGTGAAACCCCTCATTGAAAATGAGAAAGCCTTGACAGGTTGGGAACTGGGAACCTGTGCCCCAGTGGCCAGGAGCTTGCTGTGCCACATCACCAGTGCTCTCTGTTAGAAAGCTCAACTGAATGTCTTCACCGTGGCACATCCTTTCCCTAGTAGCACAAAACATAAAACGAAATGCTACCAAGCAGCCACAGAGATCTCGGCTAGGGAGAATCCCACCATCGCAGCAGTCTGTTACACACCGTCCGCACGGAGCGCCAACTCCTGCTGCCGTTGCGTTCACCTCTCCCCTGCAGCTCAGAACTCTACAAGCAGCCTGGTACAAACACGTTTCCCCACAGCAGTCAATCCCTTCCGTGCAGCAAGCAGCAACACCCAAGAGTCCTGCTCTGCACCCTCACGGGCAATCCTCCTCTTAGTCTGCACAGGGCCTTGCGCAGCGGTGAGCCCGGCACAACAGCTAGATTATGTTGTTAGCTCAGGACAGTGATGAAGAAAAAAAGCTAGCACATGGCAAGCTAAGAGAAGAAAAGAAATTCAGGCACCTTTGCAAATATTCTTCTGGAACTGCTAGCAGCATGCAGACACATTTTCAGGCCAGCACAGACTTATCTGCTTGTCCACTTCTGTAGCAGAAAACTTGTACTCTTTAATAACGAAATACAATTTTCTGTCTAGCCTACATAGCTTTTATTGCCCCAATCCTG